CACACACACACACACACACACACACACACACACACACACACACACACACACACACACACACACACACACACACACACACACACACACACACACACACACACACATGGACGCAGTGCATTATGCATATCTGGAGATATTGTGGTGTGCACGTATTGTGACATTCCCCAAACCCGGTGTTTGTATGAACTAAACTGTAACTCATCGGGGGGTGTCTGGGGGGGGGTGTAGCCCCCCCCAGCGCCTTACAGATTAAGAATACTTTTATTCCCGCGACTAATAATCTATTTATCCGTTCGGACTGGAAAATTGACGGGCGGTGGTGGCTGTGGTGGCCGTGGTGGCGGTGGTGGCGGTGGTGGTGGCGGTGGTGGTGGCGGTAGTGGTGGTGGCCACTCTGGCGAACAGCAGGCGCTATGGCCAGCTGTAGCGGCTTTGCAAAGTCGGGTGCCGCATGATGCCGCCTTCTCGCTCGAGTTCCTGCAAGCCGTATATGATATTTGCACGACTCCATGTCCCGAAGCCACCCCTTAAACTTTAGCCAATGCTCGGGGCCTCTGGAGACTTGCGGTGTGCCCCCATGAAGCTGGCGGCTGTGGGGCGGATTGCTGAGGCTGCTGGCGCTTCGGGGATAAACATCATAGACAGCACCGAAATTCACCCAGCTTTCGTTACCATTTGCCCGCATGGGCATTCTGACTTGCGGTCTGCAGCACTGTCCATGCGGCATGGAGCCTGCAGGCGGTGCTGACAATTCCGCCAGTGCAAGCTTAGCTCCCACACCATCAGCACTGCTGCAACAAAGCACATCTCCCACCACGTTATGTACAACATGTTACAAGTTATGTACAAGTGTGGGGGGCTTTAGCAGTAGTGGTCATCAGAACGGCCCCTCACTGTTTGTTACTTTACTGGGCACAAAAGAACACAACCCCACTGTTGAGTCACTAGTACTAGTGACCTGTGCATTGCATCCTTGTTTTTTTTAGTCTAAGCTGTCTGCTGCCTTTGGTGGCTGGATGCCCTTCTGACTCTTGAGCATATTGAATGCCCGTGTCCACAGCTCCTTCCACAGTGTCTTTGGACCAGGGTGCCACACGCTTCTTTGCTGCACTGCGTACTGTCGCAGTGCCGGATGCTGGCAATCTGCTC